CCGCAAACCCCCCCCCGGATTTAAAATGGCAAAAGTAAATAAACTTAGCAACTAGTTTATCAATCAGGTGAAAGTATATGCCTCTCACTGGAGACCGTTTAAATGGTTTCATTGTTCATGTACAAATAATTCAAAAATATGAATCCATTTCTATTGCAAAACATAACCAGTTAATGGGATTCAACTGCATATAGTTATGTTTCATCTTAGACCGAGGATGGCTGTGCCCTACAGAATATGGTAAATGGTTCCCTTAGTACATCCCACTCTTGGTAAAATTCCTTTAAATAGATTTTGTGCCTGAAAGCATGTGAAGCAGAACCAGTAACCCTGCTCCAGCTCAGGATTCAGGGCCTCCTGTGCATATATTTCATCATTGTACTCCTCTTTAAACAGAAGGCTATAGTTGGTTGGTTCCCAGTTCCTTACTTGTGAATTCAATGACAAATACTGGGGATAACTTAAAAGCTAGAATTTCCTCAGCACCCCATAGGGTTGCCAGGTCCGCCCTGGCCACTGGCAGGGGTCGGGGAGGCAGGGTTGCCAGATCCAGGTTGGAAAACTACTGGAGATTTGGGGGTGGAGTGTGGGGACGACAGGGACCTTAGTGGGGTCCAATGCCATAGTGTCTACCCTCCAAAGCATCCGTCTTTTCCACGGAATCTGATCTCTTTAGTATGGAGAGTTGCTGTAATTCTGGGGATCCCCAGGGCCCACCTGGAGGCTGGCATCCCTATGTACACAAGTCCCATCTCATAATTCTCAACTGTGGACATAAGCCAGGGCAGAGAGAGAGGGGAAAATAGAGAGTTCATTTGTGCTTGCAACACACAACCCTTAAGACGTTTCCAAGGTAAGACATAAGAACATTAAGAGAAGCCAATCATGGATCAGGCCAATGGCCCACCTAGTCCAACACTCTGTCACACAGTGGCTGAAAATACCAGGTGCCCTCAGGAGGTCCAGCAGTGGGGCCAGGACACTAGAAGCCCTCCCACTGTTGCCCCCCCCCCAAGCACCAAGAATACAGAGCATCACTTGCCCCAGCCTGAGAATTCCTATCTATACTTGTGGCTAAGAGCCACTGATGGACTTCTGCTCCATATGCTTATCTGATTCCCTCTTGAAGTTGTCAGACGCTGGCGCAGCGGAGCCAGAAGGACGTGGCTGGGACCAGCAGAAGACGCGAGTCGTGCACCCCATAGGAAGAACTATCCGGAACGAACAGAATGCCAAAGCCAAGTGAAGCGCCGAGTGCCGAAGCTGAGAAACATCCCAACCACCACCACAAGGGTGCTGATAGGTAACCCCTACCCCATATAACTCTGTGGCCCTAGTTAGGGAAACTCGTGTGATTAGCACCAATTGTAAGCCGCTCTGAGACCCTCTGTGAAAAAGAGGATTCGAGCGGGATATAAAGTTGAAGGTTAAATAAATAAATAAATAAATAAATATGCTTGTAGCCGATGCCACCTTCTGTGGCAGTGAATTCCACGTGGCTAACATTATTTTAAAGGTTACATGTGTTTCTGTGTTTCTCAGCATGTGTGCAATTCTGAACATCTCTCCCCCCCTCCCCCCCGCCCCAAGAATATATAAACGTGAAACCTCTCAGGCATACCTGGTCCTTGGTCCTGCCTTCTCGGTCACGAATATGGGTTGTAACAATTCTCTCCATTTCCTCACGCAGGTGGGGGTACTGGCTGAGCTGCACAGAAAGAGAAGGGGGAAAAAACATGTGCATATGGGGAAATAGGGGGTGGAAGGAGGGCAGGAGCATAACACCACCAGTCCCCAAGCCGCATCAGAGGGCCTGATAGGTAGGTTTGGACGGGGCAGAGGAAGAGGGGGGTTATAGGAAAGCTGGAATTGCAGAGAGATTTTCCAAAATCCAGCCCAGCTCTACGATTCTGTCTTCCCTACTGAACCAGCACCTTGGTCTGCCTTGACCCCAGAGGAAGCCTTGAGGGATCTAAGGTTTCCCACAGCAGTAGAACAACCATCTGTCAATGTTTGTTTGTCTGTTTTCTCAGGAAAGAACAAAAAGAAAAACCTTGCCTCAATTTCCAAATTGGTATTTTAGGGGATATTTGAAATCCCATTTTCGATGGCCAGCTGTCAGTCCAGAGCATAGATGAATTTATGGGTTCTTTGGAGAAACTCCACTATTAGGATGACTAGCAGTAAGCACCGCCTCTATTTGTAAAACCATTAACCAGGTCCATTCTACTGAATTCATAAATAGAAAAGCAGCAGTATTCAAATTCTTCTGTAATGGCGACAACATTCTGGGGTCCCTAGTTGTCCAGGTTTCCAGGCAAGGTACCACCAGTGTGCAGCTAACCATACAGCAACCAGTTTACTGGGTGGGGAAAGGAAAGGGGAAGCTAGTTGTTGGTATTTTATGGGCCTGTGACTATCACAGTCTAATCTACCTGAGAAGAGTGTTGTGTTGTGAGGATAAAATGGGTTGGGACTGTGTACACTACATGTACACTCCTAGTGTTGCCAACTCTGGATTGGGAAATTCCTGGAGATTTGGGGATGGAGCCTGGAGAACAAATCTGTATAATCTGGAGATGAGTTGTAATTCTGGAAGATTTCCAGGTGGCCCCAGCTACCCTGAACTTCCTGGAGGAAGGGCAGGATCGTGTGAGAAATGGAATGGGGGAAAGATCCATATAACGGCAAACCAGTTCTTAGTCTATTCATGCTAATATACAGTGAATTACCTTTGCTCCCCCCTGTTTACCAGTGACAGACCTCATTTTCTAATCCTCGACCCTGGAAAATCACTGTCCATATTTTTGCTTTTTGAGGATGCTGTATTTTTAAAAAATGATGGAAGCTTATTAAGGGGGTTATGTTGTTTCTAATGTGATATGAATACTGAAGCCCTATTTATAGTCTGCCATTTGACAAAGCAGCAGCTGCAGAAACATTTTGAACAGCTTACAACACACTGTAGAGAATTATTTCCCCCCCAAGTATATCTTTTAGTGAAAAAAATAGCTTTCTGTGATTTTACATTGGTACAGGACAGGCTATGTCAGAGAAAATAAATTACAGAGATTGTGAAGAACAGTCAACAATGTGTAATAGTCATGGGGGGACATGACAGTGCTCTTTGGTATGAGAATAATGTTGCAAGCATGATGCTGCCGTTTCCTACGAAACGTTGGAGGGTATGGTACTGAAAACTGTTTGGGAAGGACTGAACCCTAGTGAACTCATTAAATGTTGGGGAAATCTCTAGGGAAGAAAATGGTGTCCAAGTTGCTAGAATCAAGAGGAATTGTTGGGGATAGAGACATATTCAGAATTCTGCTCCTCTATGCAATAGGCCTTACTCCCACCAAAGTGTGCTCTCACCAAAGGACCGTGCTGCTAGTCTCTCTTGCTAGACACTATGAGAGTGCTTTTGGCTTCAGAATAAATTCCTCTTTCTTTCTCACTGCTTGATTGTTTAACAACATACCAGATTAAAGGAGGCTCCTCCACAGGAGTTAACAGGTAGTCTACAATTTGAGACACACACACACACACACACCCCTGGTGAATTTTCACATAGCAGATGTTTTTATTTCAGAAAGTGTTTCATCATCCCTTGCTGCTTTACAAGGGGACATGCTTATGCTAATTTTATACTGATTGTATTTACAAGCTCTCACTGGGATTAATAGTCGTCATAGTTTAACATGTATTTAACCTAAAGAAAATTTTAAGATTGTAAATGAGTTTTGATTTTTTTTTTGTGGGACACACACACACACACACACACATATATATAAATGTAAATAAATTGCATTAGTACAGTGATACCTGGCAATGTCAATTTTGGCTGAAACGACACTGCCGGATGAAATTCAAACAATTTCTTTTGTTTTAAGTTATCTTTGGACAACCGAACCGTAACTCTACAGGGGAAATCAGAGTGGCATGTATAGCTTAAATGTATTCTAGGGTGACCTACTGTTTGAGAAAATGTAAGGCAACAGTAGATTGCTGAAATAGCTCCAATGTACTTGCTCTAAGCAGTTTGCAGAAATCACTTCAAGCTGCACAATACAGGAGACTTTTGCTGTTCCCTATTGAAGCATCTGGGATTTATTTACTACTACTTTATTATATTCTGCAAAGGTGAAAAATATAATTCAGCCTCTTGGGGGAGGTTTTTGGTTACATTGTTAAGCAATCAGCATTCCTATGATGCCAGTAGGCTTTGTTACCTTGCATTCATATGGAAATACTCTACAGAAGAAATTTACAAGTGGCTGAATCCAGTTGTGAATAACCCTGGAGAGCTATTGATGGATTGGGCAGTGTGGGAGTGCCCTTACAGACAAACACTGAAGGAGTCAGACTACCTATTTAGATGTCCAGGTAGCCCTTCTCAAATGCTGATTATGTGGGAAGTTGGAATGGAGTTTGCATACTCGGCCCTTGAAATACTTGGCTTAGATTGAAACTGATAAAAAAGGAATACTTATAACACAATATTTCAAATTATGATGACACAAATTAGTTAATTAAAAATATCTTGTATGAGGGAATCTTCCAGTGTCAAACCCAGTCACTTCATATTGGCATGAATTAGCCGCTGAATCACAGAAACATTCTGAAGGGGAACAACTGATCCTGGACTCTAAATTATCAAGACTGGGGTGTTTGGTTTCTAAAAAATCTTTTAACAACCTACTACTCAGGGCTATTTTTGGGCAGGAACGCACAGGAATGGAGTTCCGGCTGGCTCCCGAGTTGGCCACGCCAAGCAGGAACTCATTAGCATAATAGGCCACACCCAACAGCAGAAACTCATTAGGATTGGCTACATTCGGGGTGTGCGGCCTAACATGCAAAGGAGTTCCTGCTACAAAAAGGCCCTGGGTTTTGACAACAAACAAGGTAAACAGAATAACAAGCAAAAGGTGGGTGTGGCTGGATAACCACACTTCTGATAACATGGGGGTGTGGTCTAATGTGCTAATAAGCTGTGCTGTCAGGGGTGTGGCCCAATATGCTAATGAGTTCCTGTTGTTGGGTGTGGCCTATTATGCTAATGAGTTCCTGCTGGGCTTTTTCTACAAAAAGAGCCCTGCGACACCCCCGTCCCAAATTTGGCAACTTGGCAGGTATTACTGAACTCATGTCCAATGCTCCCTCTAAGCCGTGGAGTCTTGTGAGCAAAAATTCTGCTTTTTGAGCTACTCGCATCATTAAAGTGAGCGAGTGATTTGGCCACTGTGTCACTTAGTTTGCTCTGGAGCCATCCTTCCTGAGCTAAGACAAAAATGTGTGAGCCAGAAACTAAAAAACGGTGAGCTAACGCACACTAACTCAGCTTAGAGGGAACACTGCTCATGTCCCTTTCTGGATACAGCTTTGAGCAGGGGCCACCTCAGCAACGTCAGAGCAGCTGGGCCCCAGTAAAACAGCACCACAAGAGATGGGACTGCAACTCTCAGGGAGCTGCCAAGAGATGCAGGCACTGGGGGCATTTTCCCCTTTAAAATGCTAACAGCCAAGCAAGGAGCCAGGTTTCGATAACTGAGACTGAGTGAAAGCCCAAGTACTAAGCTCACTCTCCTTTCCTTCATAACGACAAAGTAAACTGAGGGTGTATGAGCTTGCAACGTGAAATTTATCTACAGATTTTATCTTATGGGGTAAGCCCTGATGAGGTCACCGGGTGCAGTCTGATGATGTCATACTTTTATGATGTAGCCGCCTTCGTTCCAATCAAGGTTGATTCTGGGCCACCGAATGGATTTTGTTCATCACTGCTTTAGGCAGAGAGAAATGGCAACATTCCCTTATTTGTTTGCAGTTGCTAGTTAAAAAAAAGAGCAGCTCATGCTAAAGAAATAGGAAATTGGAAAATCTTTAAGCAAGTCTCAGCTTCATTTGTTGAGAGAACAAAAAAAAAAAAATTATAACCATCATAGTGACACGAAACAAAGTACTCCGAGCTGTGAAATGTTCTGTTTATTCAAACCTTGATCATTTGTCAAAATTTACACACAAAAGGGGGGGGAGGGGAGGGTAGTGGGAAAGAAAATCCGATTTCCTCCGCAGTTTCGTGATCCTCAAAAAACAGGATCACGAAACTGCGGGGGAAATTGGGCGAAGCGGCGAGTCAAAATGCAGCCCCTCAGCTTCGGGTGTGAAGTTGACCAATAGTATCGGGGCAAACGGCGGCGCAACATCGAGGCAGCTCTAGTGCGAAATCAGCCACAGTCACATTCAACAGAATTCATGCAGGAACTTCACACTTGGGCATGCGCAGCGAAAGCAGAGCTGGGCAGAGAGGGAGCAAATCACTGATACAAAACATCACATCCACAAGGGATCATGCGTCAGGATGCAAAAGGCCAGGGAAGGGAAAGGCAGTAGCACAAGCAGCACCCAGAAATGCCATGGTTCTGTACAGGAGAGCAGGCGAACCTGTCGAGTGGTAGTTTGGAAATGGGCCAACAAACGTAAAGGGCTTTCAGCATCGCAACAACCTAACTTCCCTCTCCTGAATGCCTACCGCATTGTCCTTAACTCCAAAATTCGACTGCTGTGGTGGATGTTCTTAACTTCAGAACTCGGTTCCACACTGCAGCGCCTGCTATTTGTGGCCAACTTCAAGCCTACCAGACTTTGCTCCACCAAGCCTCTCCTCCATCCTTGTCCCCTCCCCCCAATCACCTTTCTCTGCCATACTTCAACCCCGGCTGCTACATTCCCTTTACCACATTATGCATGAGAAGATTTTTTATTTTTTAAAAAATAGCTATTGCAGGTATACAAACATGATGATATCCACATTTGTGTTTCATCCTACAGACACAGAGACCTGAGTTGGCCGTGTTGTGTCAGATTTATATTTCTTTCTACGTTAAACGTGAATGTGATCTGTTGAGATGGATGTCTGTAGCCTGACTGGGAAGCAGTGATACTTGATACACCAGGATGGTGAGAGGGTTGGAATCCAAGACTTATGAGGAAAGGCTGAAAGAGTTGGGTCTGTTTAGCCTGGGAAAGAGAAGGCTTAGAGGGGACACGATTGCAGTCTTCAAGTATTTGAAGGGCTGTCATGTAGAAGATGGAGCAGATCTATTCTCTCTTGCTCCGGATTGCAAGACTAGATCTAATGGGTGGAAATTACAAGGGAGTCGATACCAGCTAAATATCAGGAGAAACTTCCTAACTGTAAGAGTGGTTGAGCAGTGGAACAGACTGCCTCGGGAGGTGGTGGATGCTCCTTCGCTGGACGTTTTCGAGCGGAGGCTGGACAACCATCTTTTGGCTATATTGTAGGTATGTAGGTATGTAGGGTTCTCTTTTGGCTATGCTCCTGCAGAGTGCAGGGGGTTGGACTAGATGGCCTGCCAAGGTCCCTTCCAACTCTAACCTTCTATGATTCTATGATGAAAATTTTGCCACCTTTTCCTCTGGGAAAACTTTAGGAGCAGACTAGCAATTTAAGCGGGTGAAGCTTCTCTTATTCTCCATGCCAGAAAAAAAAAAATCTTCATTCGCTTGATTTCCATGAGTTGCCAGACGGCTGATGTAGACACAGAAACAAAGCCATCTTTTTTTTTTTAAAGGCAGATTTATCAGAGGTGATGGAGTAACAGCAGTGTTTGGGGACATACAGAGCCCTGGGGACATAAGGGGGTGAAACGGAAATCAGAACCAAGTTCTCTGTGCCCAAAGGAGAAGGATCTCTGACTGAACTCTTTCCTCCTCACCGACTTTAGTTCTCTTCAGTTGCTGATCTTTTGCTATGGCTCAGTTATATACACACACACACCCACACCAAGTCTCTCCCAAAGCAGATGGTTCCATTTCCTGTACAGCTAATAACTATTAGTAATGCTTTTTTAAGGATGGACCGGGAAGTGACTGTCTCCACGGTTGCCTTTGCCTGCAACTGACATGAAGTCACTGTAGAACAGCGGTTCTCAACCTGTGGGTCGCGACCCCTTTGGGGGTCGAACGACCCTTTCACAGGGGTCGCCTAAGACCATCGGAAAACACAAATTTTCGATGGTCTTGGGATAAGGCTCCCAAGTCTCGCCAAATCGCGATTCATAACAGTAGCAAAATTACAGTTATGAAGTAGCAACGAAAATAATTTTATGGTCGGGGGTCACCACAACATGAGGAACTGTATTAAAGGGTCGCGGCATTAGGAAGGCTGAGACCCACTGTGAGACAGAATATTCAGGAAAGAAAATTCACTTTAGGCAGTCAGTGCACAGAAACCATACACACGTAGGTCGAGGGACTCCCACTTTTCTTAAAAACTCCATTGGGTTTCATTGAGCATGAAGGCCCGGGTGGATGCCCACCAGAAAGCCAGCACAGTCTTCTAATATTATCACGGCGTGCTCAGTGCTGATTCAGAGGGAAGGCTGCCACCTACCGAAACACCAGCATGAGCTTCTTTAGAAGACCTCCCTCCCCATGTAATCCCAGACAGCCTGGGATGGGGAATCCCAGTTACGGGATTTTGAATACAGTTGCTACGGCCCCTGGCCAAGGACTGCTGCCCCTAATGTTCCCATGAGAAAGAGAGGGCAAAGGGGCAAACCGGACTCCAGGGCAAGCAAACAAGCCCAAAGCACACAGCAGAGTCAGTTTGCTTTACTCAGCACAGAGAAGGGAGATCTGCAGAGAGAATGAGAGAGAGAGGAACCCACAGGGCAAGAGTTCTGGTATTGAAGGAAGGGTACTGATGTCTTCTCCCTCAAAGGTGCAGAAACCGGCAAAGTGAACCTCGATCACAGAGTAGCCCTCAACTATTAAACGGAGATTTCTTTGCATGTCTCAAATGACACTTACACCCCTTTTTGCATTTCCCACATGAGAATGCCTGCCTTGGCTAGAAGATAAGATTGGGGGGGAAATGCTCTTGTGTCTATTGTACGTTTTCCTTCCCACCTCTCCTCTTCCCAGTCTCAGGACAAAAACCTGGGAATATCCAGATATGGTCTTGGAAATCTAGGAGAGCATCCGTGCATGATTTTAACCCTTCCAGCTTCAGTGGGTAAGGTAAAGTGGTAAGAATTTCACCTGGATTTAATAAATCAATACACATCAACTAATGGGCAAGACTACCTCCTTAAAGAGGTGTGTGGCGCCCCCTGATGGAGTTCGTAGGTCCAGGAAAACAGCTGGTCGTGGATGTGATAGCGTGGCTGCCTCCTCCTGATGAGAATTCTATTCCCCTATCATCGCTATTTGGAAAGGATCCAGAACCTCACCATGGCAAACAAAGGAAACTGGTATTTTATCGCATTGTCTCCTAGCTTGCTTCTTTGTCTTAAAAAAAAAATCTGGATCCAGATGATAAGAAGCAAATGAAAGAGGTTTACCACATGCAAGTCAGGGACAGTTGGAATTGTATTCTGAAATAAAGGGAAGGTGATTGCCAGCAGGTAATTGTTCTTTATCCAGCTGACTTTTTTTTGGGGGGGGAACCCTCGAAAAAAAGCATTTAAACCTGTCAGCCCCCCTCTAAGGGACTGATGGCAGCACAGTGTTTGGTTTCTGTTCTTTCAACAGACATAACCCTACATTATAAGAGCATCCCTCGCCATTTGGGCGGGCTTCTCCCCCTCCCCAAGAAAAAAAAGCACCACATCTACAAAGAGAATGGAACTGTTACCTAAGGCAGCTAGGAAGATGGGGCGTGTATCTTTATCATCCGCTTCCATGGGACTAATATCAGAAGAAAACTCATGGAAGATACCTAGGATCAGGCTGCTGAGTACCCATGAATGTGACTTGGGGTTCCCGGTAGATGGCCGCTTAATACGGAATGGCGTCTTTGTGGATCCTTCTCCCTTACATCCATGAAAAGGGGACTGGATCATGTTCACATTTCACTGGATTGGGGCTACTTTTTTTAATCTTATAGCAGTCGTAGCGTGTGGCACAGGCTGGCAAAGGAGCAGTCGCTGCTCCTGAGAGAGAGCAGAGACAAACAGTGAGACTGTACCCTCCTGTGGTCTCATTGTCACGGGCAGATTTCGTGCCACCCCGAAGCGAGGACTGTGCGTTCGTGGTGTTTAAAGACTGCCTTCCACTGCCAACTAGCACTAGTCAAGCCCCACTGTTTCAAAGTCCTTGACGCCACTTGTCCAAACAGAACCCTTCTCTGAAGCCTCCTGTCCACTTCGAACTAACCACTGTACTCCTATTAATAAATCGTGGTCCAGATTCTAACACATGATATTAATTGTTCTCCCTGGGCCCGTGCTTACTCCCCTGATCTGAGCATGTGAGGAAAGGCCACATAGGTGTGTGAGAGCAAAGCGGCATTTGTTATGGTTCCTTCCCTTCAGGGATATTGGTTTTCTTTACCTTTTCGCTACACTTTCTGATGGTGGATGTGAGCTCACTCACTACCATATCCACACACTTCAGACACGGCTCCTTCAGTTTCTGCACCTGCTTTTTCACTATGGCTTCAAAAGCGAGGTCAGGGGTGAAGAGACCCGTTCTGTGCGGCAAAAGGAGCAGGGAAGGAAGAGAAGCAACGAGGAAGAAAGAAGCATGAAGCAGACAGAGGGGGGAGAAGAAGAGAACAAGGTCAGACAGAAGAGGGAGAGGAACAGAGGAAGAAAGTGAAAGGGAGAGAAGAGAAAAACACAAGGCAAAAAATGAGAAGTGAGATATTTGGTTCACGCCACAGGAAAATCTAACCCAGCTGAGCATTGCTAAAGGTCCCCAAGTGCTGCCAAGCATCAGGTGAATTCTACAGGATGAACAAAGAATGCATAACGCAAAACCACAAGCGAGGACGTGATCAAGAAAATGGATGGATGGGTAGGCCCAGGGATCCCTCCTTCCCTCTCTGCTTCTGTTTCGCTTCTCACAATTCATGGTGAAAGGCGAAGCCTTTAGCCCCTTGCCTGGATTGCCAGTCATCACTGTGGTCTCCCCTCCTTCCTAATGGCTACATTCTGTGCTAATTTCTAAAAGTCGTGTGCATCTTAAGAACCTTGAAAATGTGGTGTGTGCATATTTGGGGGGGGAAAGTTATTTCATCTTGATACAATGGAGGAACTATGTAAGGCACTGATCTATGAAAATTACTGAAGGCTTGACCACTAGAAATCTACCTTGTCCCTCTTCCCCTGCTTTTGATATTTCGCCAAGCCCTGGGCATGGCTCACCAACAGAGGACTCGCTTTCTACGCAGAATGTCCCAAACTCAACCCCTGGCATCTCCAGTTAAAGGAACTCAGGGATCAGGAAAGATCTTTCCCTCCCTGGAGCTTCCACTGAAAATAAATAATACTAACCTGAATAAAGAAGAAGAGATTGGATTTATACCCCGCCCTTCACTACCCAAGGGAGTCTCAGAGCGGCTTACAAACTCCTTTCCCTTCCCCTCCCCATGACAGACACCCTGTGAGGTAGGTGGGGCTGAGAGAGCTCTGACAGAAACTGTTCTTTTTCAAGAACAGCTCTTATCAGAACGACGGATCCCTTTTGCCCCCCCCCCCGTGCGCCCACCATGGCTTGGACCCGTTAATTGGATCTGTACCCCGGACTTCCTGTTCCCCTGGCACCCATGCTCTTAACACTCACTTTTGCTTTTGTAACTTTGCCTGCTTTGCACATCTGACTTCCACCAAGGAAGACTCTGCAAAGAAAGGCACTCGCAGTCACAAACAACCTCTGCTTCTCACTTGCCTTGACAGTTCCTTGCTGGGGTTGCCATAAGTCAGTTGCAACTTGAGTGTCCTTATGTAATAGCCCCCCTACTTAGATTCTTCTTTGACTCAGCTGAGTGACCCTTCTGTGCCCAGAGGGCTAAGTTCTTTGGTGGAACTGGTGTTTGTATCATCAGAAAGATCATAACATGTTTAAAACTCAGTAGTGTTTGCAGCTGAACCAGGACAGGGGTGTGTGTGTGTGTGTGCCAGTTTGGCGCCCCTAAGGGCCGGCGCGCTCTAGGTGAGCGCCTAGTTCGCCTAGTGAGTGAGCCGGCCCTGCTCTCAATGGACCATTGGTCTGAATCAGTATGAGGCACACTGCTATGTTTGCCTCACCTGGGATGCTACAAGTTTAAGGGAAGAAGCAGCTCTCACTGGTAGAGAAAAAGTGCTCAGATTCAGTTCCGGGCATCTACAGACAAAGGATATTAGACGGGGACAGAGTCACTGCCTACCCCCTGGTGAGCTGCTGCCTGTCGGCGGAGACACCACTGATTAATAGCGTACCTTGGTAGAAGACAACCAGGGTCGTAGCCCCGAATTTTGGGGGGAGGGGGCGCCAGGGGAGGCAACTGAATGAAATTTAATTAAATTAATGGAGCTGGGGAGGGAGGAGTGGCTCCTCACCCTGGCTTCAGGCCGGCGCCTGCTGATGCACCACAGGCTGGCTCCTCTGCCGCCGAGCACCATGTAGAGGAGCCTCCTTCTCCCTCCCCCTGCAGGCCCGCCATTCCTTCCCCCAGTGAGCTCCAGCGGAGGGCAGGCTCCTCTCCAGCTCCACTGCTGCCAAGCACATGTGGAGGATCCTCCTTCTCCCTCTCCCTGTAGGCTCGCCACTCCGGCAGGGGTGGGCTCAGCAGCTGCACAGGCACCCTGGGCCCCGGCGCCTCCCTGACGGAGAGCCAAAGCAACCCGCCACGCCTGCAAGAACCCCACCAAGGGCCTGCCTCACCATCTGGCCACTCTCCATTTACCTGGGTAGGCTGGCTGTGGTGGCCTCTGTGGCTCAGAAGGCAGCTCTGCAAACAACAGGTAGCCTACCTTGTAGGGTTGTCGGGGTGGGGTATTGCAGATTGCAGGAGGGGGCATCGCCCCCAATGCTGGCTGCAGCCCTGAAGACAACTCTATGCGCATAAGTACAGATGTGCCTTTCAAACAGCACTCATTAGGTATTTCTTTTCTCCCTTGAAGTGAGCTGCAGTTCCCCTTTGCATTTTTTTTAATGCATATCTATTAATTAATGGAATGGCAATTCGTCTGGCTTGCACCATCCTCCATGTCCACCTTTCCTTATATGGTCAAGATGGCACTTGTAACTGTATCTGATTTCATGATTGCTTGGCTCCTCACTTAAAACCAGAGGTCATTTCGGGGGGGAACGCGGGGGAACGCAGTTCCCCCGGGTGAGGTGCAGGGGGCGGGGCACATGATGAAGCCCCGCCCCCTGCTTCCGGCCGCCCCGCTTCCAGCCCTCATTCAGCCAGGAGGAGGCAGGAGAAGAGGGAGGGTAAGTTGCTTCCTCCCCGCCTCTCCCCACCCCTGCCTGCCTGGGGCCAGGGAGGGCCTTGGCGGGGCTTCTTCACACTCCCGCTGGCCTTGCAGGTCCACCGCCGGGCCCCTGATGTCAGGGGGTGTGGCATATGCTAATGAGTTATGCTAATGAGTTCCCCTAGCTCTTTTTCTATGAAATGACCCCTGCTTAAAACAAGCACTCACACGGTTCTTACATAGTTCAAACATGGCACCAGGGATGGTGGCTCATGATGTCACAAGCTTCCAGGCAATCAGTTCAGTGCATGGAGGTTTATACGCAGAAGCACTTCCCCAAAGCTTGATTCTGGGAAAAGAATGTCTGTATGAGCAAGACATGGGAGGTGTGCTTCCACAGCAGCTCAACTGATCAAAGTACGGCTGCTATTATCTAGAGGTCACAGGGTTTGTGCAATGTTTGGAAGTACTATTACAATCAGAGGGCAAACCACAACCTGTCTAGTAAGCTGCCCCATGTAAATGCTATTGAGGTACGACTGTATACTGCTCAACTGAGCCGGCCTTGGCTGGGAAAGGGGGTGGGGGATAAATAAACATCCTGTCTCTAGTTTGTCATTCTAAAGACTTACAGGAAAGCTACCTCATATTTTTGATGAAGGACCCTTCTTACTGATCTTCACTGCTTTCGTTTGTTGTGCCGGCTTCCCTAACATAACATTTTTGGATTTCTTCTGGTACCATTCCCCACAGGTGATTTAAAGGGCAGGGCGAAGCACTCAGCCCTGACTTGGATAGCTCAGGGTAGCCCGATCATGTCAGATCTCAAAAGCTAAGACGGGGTCGGCCCTGGTCAGTATTTGGATGGGAGATCACCAAGGAATACCAGGGTTGCTATGCAAAGGCAGGTTATGGCAAACCACCACTGAATGTCTCTTGCCTTGAAAACCCTACAGAGTGGCCATAAGTCAGCTGTGACTTGATGACAGGGGAAAAAAAGAACTAGAAAGTTTGTATTTTTCACCCAATGGGATATATTTAAGTAACCAGGAAAGAAGGATCTTGCGAAAAAGCCAGGCAAGCTCATTATACTGGAGCTGATAACTAATGGGGCTGTAAATCTCAACTGCCACCATTCCAATACTGCAATTAGTTTCTTGGGAAAAACAAAACATTGTGCACCCAAAAGCTAGCAGCTTTGGAAGAAGGGGGGGATTTAGATCTAGAGAATGGAAGGAAGGGTTAAATACTTCCTCTCATCAAGGACCACTTTCCCAATCTTCAGAGCAGTCCCACGAGTCAAGTTTATAGAAATGCAGGAAATCCTCATCACAGATCAAAAAATGGCAGGAAATCCTAATCACAGATTTTGAAAAATGCAGGAAATCCTAATCAAAAAGCCTCCACATCATGCCTAGCTTTGGCCCTTAGATCCTACCTACTTTTAGACAATGCTTACAGATCATACAAAACTAGCTTTCAAAAATTATTTAGAATATCACCAATCTAGCAGACTATGCAAAAAAAATAATCCAGAGTCCATCCTAGTAACTAAAAAGCAACAGTGTGTAGTAACTCTGGCAAACCTTATTGATCTTCCCAGACAGAGAACATGGGACTGTCTGTAAGAGATGTCATAACCGAAAACCTTGTTAACCCCCAGCCCTTATCATAATTTGCTGCTCTAGTACAAATCCTCCTCAAAACCATGCCGTGCTTATCATGAAACACCACCCAGCAAGTGTTAATACTAGGTTTGCCAGGTGCCTACCATCTGCCGGCGGAGGGCTCCTGACTGCTGGCCGGGGTCTTCTGATCACCGTAGAGTTTTTGGCCTAACGCTAGAGCATCCCCCGCATGACATGCCTGGGGCAATGACATCACAGGGGAGCGGTGGCACAGTGGGTATATCCCACTGTCTTAACATCCGAACTGTGTCAGTTCGAGCCCCGCGCTGGTGTGAGCAGCCAGCCTGTTGTCCCCAGCTCATCGTCTACCCAGCGATTCGAAAGCCTCGGAGAGTAGATAAAATGGGAACCACTCCTTAGAGAGGGTGGGCACACCAAATCCCCTGTGGGAAGGTGTCAGCTGTCGATTGGGACGTCCTGCTCCAGGATCGGAAGGCGGTAGAAACTACTCGGCTACAAGAAAAACCCCTGCAGTGGGATGCTCCGGCCAGGCGGTGGCAGTGTGGCGATATAACATACGGGTCCTGAAGCCCCAACGTCATCAAGCCGGTCGACGCTGCCATTCGGGGCATGACTGATCCAAGCCAGAGACGTTTCCACCG